ATGAGGGGAAGTTATAGGGAGGAGGGAACAAGCTTGTTTTCTGCTGCCCTGGAGACTAGGACGTGGAACAATGGCTTCAGACTACAGGAAAGGAGATTCCACCTGAACATGAGGAAGAACTTCCTGACTGTGAGAGCTATTCAGCAGTGGAACTCTCTGCCCCAGAGTGTGATGGAGGGAGGCTCCTTCTTTGGAGGCTTTTAAGCAGAGGCTGGATGGCCATCTGTCAGGGGTTCTTTGATGTGATTTTCCTGCTTCTTGGTAGGGGCTTGAACTGGATGGCCCACAAGGTCTCTTCCAACTCTATGATTCTATGACTCTATTCTTTATCATCTCACTGTTTTCTATATGTTTGGGACACGCGGACAGCATTCACACAGAAATTGCAATGGGGTCACACTGCATTCATTCTACAATGTATCTGTATGTTTTGGATTACAGTTCCTAGATTTCCCCAGGCATAAGATTTGTGGCTACAAGATTCTTGGTATTGTTACTTTTCTAAACTCTGGTTTTACTAAAATAGGAAACAAAATATACCAGCTATTCCCATTTTCCCCCAAATATGCTGACATTTTTAATCCAAACCTGTGCAGTATTGAATCTGAATTTCTAGGGGCTCCACGGGTAGGCTTCAAAGAGTTGTGAACAGGGCAAAGAGAAGAAATATTTTTCATCCTTTATTTTCCTCCCCGTTGTTCTAGAAAATGTGTTTAAAATTATTTCTCTCTTCCCTACCTGTGATATTGGGGTCCACAAGTTTCATCAGTTTCTCAAAATGCCAATGACCAAAAACCACTGGTTTAAAAGGGCCATTGGCCTGTGAGTCAGCTGACAAACAGAAGAGCAACAGAGGCACCATTTCTAGACTGGAGAAGCAGCAATGTGGAGGGCATGCTTTGCTTTCTCTCTCCAGCCCAGTGGTTCTCAACCTTCCTAATGCTGCAGCCCCTTAATACAGTTCCTCATGTTGTGGTGACCCTCCAACCTTAAAATTATTTTCATTGCTACTTCATAACTGTAGTTTTGCTACTGTTATGAATTGTCATGTAAATATCTGTTATGGAGGATGTATTTTCATTCACTGGACCAAATTTGGCACAAATACCCGATACGCCCACGTTTGAATACTGGTATTGCGGGGTGATTGATTTTGTCATTTGGGAATTGTAGTTGCTGGGATTTATAGTTCACCTATAATCAAAGAGCATTCTGAACTCCAATGATGGAATTGAACTAATCTTGGCACGCAGAACTCCCATGACCAACAGAAAATACTGGAAGGTTTTGTGAAAATACTTGGCAAGGGTGGTAAAACATCAAAACATCTGGGCATCCCCTGGGCAACATCCTTGCAGACAGCCAATTCTCTCACACCAAGAGCGACTTGCAGTTTCTCGAGTCACTCCTGACATGAAAAAAATAGACTGAGGTAGGAAGAGCCACAATGGTGCAATGGGTTAAACTTTGTGCCGGCTGGACTTCTGACCTGAAGGTTACCGGTTCGAATCCGCAAGACGGGGTGAGCTCCTGTCTGTCAATTCTAGCTTGTGGGGACATGAGAGAAGCCTCCCAGCAGGATGGTAACACATCCAGGCATCCCCTGGGCAACATCTCTGTAGACAGCCAATTCTCTCACACCAGAAGCAACTTGCAGAATGTTCTCATCACTTCTGACATGATAAAAAAATAGGCTTAGGTTTTACATTACATTTGCATGATAGAATTAGACACTGTAGCCTACATACAAAAGTGTGAAAGGACACAGTTTGGAAAACTCTTGTTTCATTTAGGTCTCCAAAACAAAACTTCTCCTTGTGTCTTCATCACACTAGAGAAAATAATCCACTTAAAATCCAGTTTCTGCCTCCTGCAGAATTCTGGGGTATGTAGTTTAGTGAGGCTGTTAAAGGCTCCTCCCTAAACTACAAACCCCAGAATTCTGCAGGAGGCAGCTTAATGTCCTTGGCAAAACTATGAATTCCCTGATTCTGAGTTATCTTTTACTGAGTCCTGGGGAGGGGAGGTTGCATCTGATTACAGCAACTCAGGAAGGGGGCCTGAAGCTGTTAGCAATGGTGGGAGTTGGTCCAGAACACCCGGAGCAAGGCATGTAGCGGGGGGGGGGGGGGGGGGGGGGGAGTGACTTGAGGGGCTTCAGCCCCCCCCCCCATGAAATTCTCAGGATGTTCCACAAGAAGGCCTTACTGGTATGTGGCACGGTGGCATCCTTGTCCGCATCTGGGCCCTCAGTGCACTCACTTTCCTTTTCGGTGCCCCTCGTTTCAGCCTTTAGTGCTAGGAGAGGAAGGGGAGTGCACTGATAGCCCAGGTGCCAAAGAGTGATTTCATTGTCAGCCTGTTTGTTTGTGAACAACTCTTCAGCCTTACTTTGCCCCTATCAATTTTTCTTTGGGAAAAAAGTCTTGATATGGCATCTGCCATAAACCATGCTAAGTTACTGTTAAAGTCTTTAGAAAGTTTGAGAGCAGATGCAAAAGATCATTTTGTAAAACTCTTTGACTTCTACAACATCTGAAAAAATATTTCAAAGCAACTTGACTATTCCAAGGCAAAGTTCAAGACAGGTGCAAATCCAGGGACTAATTCTGTAGAAGATTATTTCAGAGTTGCGGTGTTCATACCATGTGTCGATTCACTTATATAGAACATTACTGAAAGGTTCATGTCAAATGAAGACATCTTAACCCGTTTCCAGGTTCTCCTCCCTGGGTTTTCAGGTCTAGACAAAGTTCACCATATGGAACAACTGTCAGAATACTTTGAAAATAACGCAGCACTTGCTTCCGTCAAGGCTGAGTACATCATGTGGTGTAATATTACAACATCAATTAAGAAAGATACTGAGGGACTTAAAATGTTGGAACTGTGTGACAAAACCTACTATCGGTCAATAAATTTCCTTTTGACTGTGTTAGCTCTATGAACTGGCGCGGTCTTTAAGATCTTCTGGGGAGGCCCTCCTTTCACTCCCACCACCATCACAAGCACAGTTGGTGGGGATGAGAGAGAGGGCCTTCTCTGTGGCGGCCCCCTGCCTCTGGAACGCCCTTCCTAGAGAAATAAGACTGGCCCCATCCCTCCCCTCCTTTCGTAAATTTATTTATTTATTTATTTATTTACAGTTCTTATATTCCGCCCTTCTCACCCTGCAGGGGACTCAGGGCGGATTACAGTAAACACATATATGGCAAACATTCAATGCCAGTTTGACAAACAACATTTAACAGACAAAGGCTATTTAACTTTTTTTCTGGCCGCCAGGGGAGCTGCTGCTTTTCATCGTCCATCAACGACACCGATGAAGTTCTTCCGCATTCCACATTCCCCGGAGTCTTCTTTCTTTATGGCCTCATAAATTAGTTAAATTTAGCCTCCCACACAAGGTGGTACCTTATTTTCCTACTTGACAGATGCAACTGTCTTTCGGGTTGCAAAGGTCGACAACGGGTTACACAATGGCTGGACACCCACTCCAGCCCGGGCTGGCTTCGAACTCATGACCTTTTGGTCAGAGTGATCTTAATGCAGCTGACACTCAGCCAGCTGCGCCACAATCCCGGTGCCTGAAGCCTGAAGACCTGGTAGTTTAAATAAACCTTTGAGAACGACTAGTTCTAGCTCTGCCCCAGATACTGTTGAAATTGGCCACATCTTTTTCTACCAATTACCCAGGTTATGTTCTTTTATTAGGCCCTGGAAATGTACAGCCATAGACTCTACTAATTTCCCAGGCCCTCTAAAATTGCACTAGCCCCGGCCTGGCCTTTTAAATTGGATTATTTTAAATATATATGTTCTATTGTGGTTTTTAATGCTTATATTGTCTTGATAATTTTATGTTTATGCTGTTTTCCTTGTATGTATGTATGATGTTATTTGGAAACCGCTCTGAGTCCCCTCGGGGAGATAGAGCGGTATATAAATAAAGTTTTGTTGTTGTTGTTATTAGCTACTCTACCAGTAACGACATGCAGTGTGGAAAAATCATTTTCAACCATGAAGAGAGTGAAAAGTGTATCTAGAAGTTTAATGACAGACCAGAGACTTAGTGGACTAGCAATGATTTCCATCCATTAAGACATCACTATCAAACCAGAAAACGTAATTGACGAAATGGCTGGGGACAAGAAAAGAAGACTGTTGCTTTAAAGTAAAAAATAAGTCAAAAGGGATTCTAAACATTTTGTTAATGAAAGTAAATAAATAACATTTATTATTTGAACTGTTATGTTTATTCATATCATGATCTGATCACCATGCTCAGGCCCGTAGCCAGGATTTTGATTCAGGGGGGGGGGGAGCTGAGTTTGATTGGGGGGGGGGCTGAGTCTGAGTGAAAGAGGGTCTACCCTAGCAAACCTTTTGTATCGTTACCCCAATACCCTCATGCATATGAGATATATTGAGCATGGTGATCAGATCATGATATGAATAAACATAACAGTTTAAATAATGTACCAGTAAGGCCTTTTCGCAGACCACCCTGAGAATTTCGGTTTATTCATCTCATGATCTGATCACCATACTCAATATATCCCATATGCATGGGGGTATTGGGGTAACGATACAAAAGGTTTGCTAGGGTAGACCCTCTTTCACTCAGGCTCAGCCCCCCCCCCCATCAAAATCCTGGCTAGGGGCCTGCCTGGAGAGTCTAAGTTTGCCCATGCCTGGTCTAACTCCAGCCACAGATGTTCCTTCTCAAATACAGCCTTCCAACATTTTAATTCAAATACACAATACGTGCTTAGGACTTCAAACCAAGGCTTCTCTGCAGCTTTGTTGTCTTTTTTGCAATCCTGTGTGTGTGCTTGTAGCCCTGGCCAAGAAGTCTCCCAACTCTAGGATTCTGTGATTCAAAGGGAAGCAGAGAAGCAGCAGCAGCAGCTTCCCCGAGATGTTCCGACCCAAAGAGAGGAGGGCGAGGGGAGGGGGGGGGATGCGCCCGCCCACAATCCACCCTCCCTCTCTCTCTCTCTCTTCTGGGTGGAGCTTGCCCCTCCGCTCGCCCACGCTGCCCCACTGCCTGCCTGCCTGCCTGGCTCTTCCCTCCGTGGGTCTCTCCTGGCTCTCCTCTCCCTCTTCCTCCTCCCGGTCTTGTCTCCTCGATCCTGCCGGCCATGAGCTTCCCGCGGCCGCTCCGCCGCTCCGTGAGCCTGAACCCGGCGCGGACCCTGCGGCTGGTGGTGCTGGGACAAGGCGCCGTGGGGAAGACAGGTACCCGGAGCGTCTCTCGTGGGGCAGGGCGGGGGGAAAGGGGGATCCCTGTTCTGCCAGCCCTTCTCCCCCCTGCACCACTTCCCACTCTCTCCCCCTATTGCAACCCGAGCCTCTCCCGGTTTGCCCAAACTTTCTGCATCGGGTAGAAGGGCCTCTCCTGACTCTGGTGCCTGTCCCCCATCTTCTGGCTAAAGGGAAACACGCGTGTCAGCCTCGCGTGGAGGGCACGCAAAGTATCTCAAGAGTCCACTGTAGGAGATACCCCTTCCCCTCTTTCTGTTGCTCTTGCTGTGTGCCTCGAAGTCCTTTCCGACCTCAGGCGAACCTAAAAAGGCAGGCTTTCTGAAGCAGTATCCACTAACAAACCCAAAGATATTGTCCAAGGCTTCCATGGCTGGAATCACTGGGTTGCTGTAGGTTTTTCGGGCTGTATGGCCATGTTCTAGGTAGGACCTCACAACCTCTGAGGATGCCTGCCATAGAAGCAGGCGAAACGTCAGAGGAGAATGCTTCTAGAACATATAGCCCGAAAAACCGACAACAACCCAGAAACCCAAAGATTTCAAGCAGTCTGTGAGCTTGAATTGAAAAAAAAAATAGGTAAAGCTAAAGGTTTTCCTTTGACATTAAGGTGATGCTCATCTTCATTTCTAAGCCGAAAAGCCGGCGTTGTCCGTAGACACCTCCAAGGTCATGTGGCCAGCATGACTGCAAGGAGAGCCATTAACTTCCCGTACAAGCAGTACCTATTGATCTACTCACCTTGCATGTTTCAAACTGCTAGTTTGGCAGAAGCTGGGTCTAACAACATGAGCTCACTCTGCTCCCTGGATTCGAACCGTGACCTTTCAGCTCAGCAGTTTAACCACAACGTATTATCATTGTGGGGGCCTTCAATGGCACAGTGGGTTAAACTACTGAGATGCTGAACTTACTGACTGAAAGGTTGGTGGTTAGAATCCAGGGAGTGGGGTGAGCTCCTTCTGTTAGCCCCAGCTTCAGCCAACTTAGCAGCTCAAAAACATGCTAATGTCAGTAGATCAATAGGTACTTCTTTGGTGGGAAGATAAACGATGCTCCATGCAGTCATGCAGGCCACATGACCTTGGAGGCATCTATGGACAACGTCAGCTCTTCGGTTTAGAAATGGAGATGAGCACCATCCCCCAGTCGGGCACAACTAAACTTAATATCAAGGGGAAACCTTTACCTTTACTTTATTATCATTGTGCTCTCTGACTTCTAACTTCAATCTTTACTTATGAATGTATGCAGTCAATTTACAGCAGTGTTCATTTCATATCGCATTGCAGTTGTTGCAGATCTCCAGAAATCACTGGCACTCATCCATACTTTGAAATTACTAGATCACACACTGGATCCTAGTCCTGCTGCTGTGTACATTGTACACCCTACAATTTAAAGACCTACCGATGTTGAGTGTCATAAAACTATCTGCTGCTACATTCTGAGAAGGAGTTTTTTCACCTGACTGGCAAAGAGGTTCCTGGTGTTTGGGGAAACTGCCCTAAAATATACAGCAAAGCATCCAAAAACAGACAGGATACAAAAGTTGAGCATCAGCTCACTAGCAAGCAGAGCGTGAAGTGCCCTGTCATATGGCTATAAAGAATTAAGAGAGTAGGCAGGCAAAGATCCAGAGTCCAATCTTTAAAAATCACAAAAAAGTTTATTTACAATAATAAGAAATAAATGCATTTCTTAATAATCAAGAACTGGATCTGAGCTATTCTAACACCCATCTCTTCTAGGGTTTCAAAGAGAGGGAAAGAACACCAATCACTACATCTCTCCTGACACACAAGGAGAGAGAGATCTCAAAGCACACAGCACATACTCAGATGTAAGAAACAGAAGTCAGATTTTTAGAAGGCTTGCAGTAGAAAAGTATCCATTGTACACAACAGAATGAGAACAGAAACAGAGAGAGAAGAACAAAATAGATACATTCCGACTGTCATTCAGGAGACATGGGTAAAGCGAAGCCCTTGCCCTATTCTAAGCTAACTAAACTGTACCTCATTGAGGACTTGAAACTTGGACAGTGTGGGGTTGAATTCCAACACCTGGAACAAAAAAGGTTAAGATGGAATTGAACCAAACTTGGCATACAGAAAATACTGGAAGGATTTGGTGGTCATTGGCCTTGAGCTTTGGAGATGTAGTTCACCTATATCCAGAGCACACTGAGGACTCACACAATGATGAATCTGAACCAAGCTTGTTACAAATACTCAATATGCCCAAATGTGTACACTGGTGGAGTTTGGGGGAAAGTAGACCTTGGCATTTGGGAGTTGTAGTTGCTGGGATTTATAGTTCACCTACAATCAAAGAGCATTCTGAACCCCACTAACGATAGAATTGGGCCAAACTGCCCACACAGACCTCCCATGACCAACAGAAAATACTGTGTTTTCTGATGGTCTTTGGTGACCCCTCTAACACCCCCTCCCACCCCCACCCCCCAGGGGTCCTGATAGCCAAGTTGAGAAACACAGCTAGAGCTCAGAAACCCTTCCTGATTTGCTGCCGTCGACCCAGAAATATTTACCAACAGACCATCCCTCACACCTTCCCCAGTTAACTGCTATTGAAAACACAGCTATATTTTATGTTGAGAATGACTTTAAGAAAATAACCCTGTTGTCAAACTGAGGGCCACTTGCTGAGCCTTATATTTGAGAGGGATGTGGAGTCTGTGGCTTTTTGCATCCCTATCCAGCACTCTTTCCATTGACCTCCTTTCATTTTCCCAGTCTTCTTATCCACATTATTAACATCAAAACGTTTCTAAAGCATGTGTGAGGAAGGAAGATGAACTCCCGCTGGACTCTCCTGCATTTGAAAGGATGGGAGGAGATGAAAGAGCCTCACAGCATGGTCTTCCCCACCCCACCCCCAGTCATTTTGCTCGGGTGAAACAACTCTTTTCTCCGAGACCCTTTGCTGCCTGAATGGAATTAAGAGTTCACTCCCTCATTACTCTAAAAAGGGATGGAGGAGGAAGCTTTGGCCCTCCACATGTTTTCAATTTTAGATCCCAAAGGCCTAGGGCAAGTGGTCAGGGATTATGGAAGTTGTAGTGCAAGACAACTAGCAGTACAAAGGATGCCCACTCATCTACTTGAAGATGGATGTTTAGAAGGTGAACCTTAAAAGGTTGTAGAATGTTTACTATTTTCCGTGGTAGGCTGAGGGGACAACGCTTGCATTTAAATGGGATTTTGCTCTGATCTTCGAAGAAACAATTAAAGGTGCTTAAACCTGTCCCCCCCCCCCCTGTGAATAGTAGTAGTCTCCTTAAAGTTTGGGCTAAAACCCACTAGAGATCTTCCTTCCCTCTGTATGTGTGTATGTATATATATATATACTTACACACCTGTTTGAACATATGTTATCTGTCCGAACGTATCTCCCTCTACGAACTACTAAGGACATTATGATCATCTAGGGAAGCCCCGCTCTCATTCCAACCTTCTTTGTAGTCACAACTGCTGGGGATGAGAGACAGGGCCTTCTCCATGGTGGCCCCTTGGCTGTGGATCTCTCTCCCCAATGATATTAGATCCGCCCCCTCCCTCCTGACCTTTAGGAAAAAACTCAAATCCTGGCTTTGAGATCAAACATTTGTGCAATAAATGGATCAACTGAGAAAATAATGTTTTAGTGGACCGCAATGGACTGATTTGGATTATGTTTTGAACCTGCAAACTATTTTTAACTCAAATGGTGTTAATAGTGTGTGTTTTAATGTGTTGTTTTTGGCATCTAATAACTGCCTGCCGTTCCCTCTTTGGAGGTGAGAAGGATGGGATAGAAATGCCCGAAATAAATAAATAAATAAATAAACACACACACACACTTATTATTTATTTGTATTTTATTTACAGAAGCCCATTGTGTTTATTTTATTTTGAATACATGCTTTAGATTGTACACCTTTGGAACATCTCATGGCTTCTGCTTGTTTTTATTGCAAAGTGCCATGTACACTTGATGTAAATAAATGATAATAATAGATCATTGCCCCATTGGCATGGACTCTGTGCCCTAACTTTAGCTAGAGACTCTTGGCTCTCTGTCCCTTCTCTACCAGGCAGTCCTGTGGGCTTCCAGAGGCTTTAGACTACTATTCCTTTTATCTGGCTGGGGCTGGTAAGAGGTGAAGAACAAAAACTCTGGAAGGTAACTGATTATAATCAGTAATCACCTATCCATTTAAAGCTGTATAAAGTGAGTATACGTCCCAGAACACACAGAGAGTGGTAGAACGCCCATCCGTTCAGGCAGACTTGAATCATCTCCTTCAGTGTTGTGACAGAACCAGATCTCAAATGTCAGGATTCTTTAATTAGAGAACTTAATATATTTTAGGAAATCTGTGTTTTTGGGTAATACTGTTAGCTATGCTGAGCTGTTACGGAAAGGTGTGGGGTACAAATCAAATGCTTAAATATGACGCCCTCTCCCTCTAGATTTCCTTTTGTCTGTGAGCTTAGCTGCAATCTTCACAGTACTCAGGATGATGAGAAATGGATTTCCCCAACAATAATGTATTGATGTGTTGTTGAAGGCTTTCATGGCTGGAATCACTGAGTTGCTGAGAGTTTTCCAGGCTGTATAGCCATGTTCCAGAAACATTATTTCCTGACATTTCACCCACATCTATGGCAGGCACCCTCAGAGATTGTGAGGTCTGTTGGAAACTAGGCAAGTGAGGTTTATATATCTGTGAAATGTCCAGGATGGGAGAACGAACTCTTTTCTGCTCTACGCAAGTGTGGATATTGAGCCTGTGGTGTTTTGAAAGTCCTTTTGGCCGCAAAAAATTATGGGATAGTATCTGTGTCTCTGCAGCGTAGAAGGGGTTCTTTCTCTCACCCTGGACATGCCACAAATATGTAAACCTCACTTGCCTAGTTTCCAACAGACTTCACAACCTCTGAGGGTGCCTGCCATAGATGTGGGCAAAA